GGGATATACAACACAATCACTAAGATCAAACTCATTGCCTTTGTCTTTGAGTGCACGCAGAGATAGAGTCAAATTATCACTTTGTAAAAACCATTGTTGTCTTTGCTTGAATTTTAGAAGTGCAATCCACATTCAAGGGTCTCCATTGTATCCTGAAGAAAATTCGCCGGTCAACCCAACTTGCACCCTAAAAGATAGGAATAGGTGGTGGTGAATTAAGCCTAAAGGAAAGTGCTATCCACACCTTGAAGACATAGTGCACCACTTTCTTCATATCTTCTTCTTGTACTCTTCAGAGAACCATTCCTGCCAACAGTTTTTAGGTTTAATTCGCAAGTACAAATGGCTTCTTTGAAGGAGTTGACTACACTTATGTTGGTCTAAGAATTGTAGGCAGGTTTTTATTTTCTCCAATTGTGTTGAAGTTATTAACTTGTTGGATAGGGATTGTGACTCAGCACATTTGTTTAGAACCTTATAAATGAAGTTAGAAATTTATTTTATAGAGATTAGCAGGTTGTTTTAAATTATACCCTTGGAGTTGACAACTCTATTGCGGACCATCTTGCCAACATATCCCATAGCTTCATCTTTCTTCTAGCTGAGATGAATGGTGATAAAAGAAGCTAATCCTTATTTGTTATAGTCTTGTAGTTTTTTTTCCACTTGTTGCGTTAGTGGTATTCGGTTTTTACTCAAAAGAAGAAAAAACAAAAGAAACATAGGGGTACATTTTAGCTACGAATTACTCTTTTTTGGCTAACACAAATGATCCATGCTTCCTCTAGTTCTCAATATAAGAGTTACTTGATTATTTTAAATAAATTTAAAAAATTGATTAATATGAATTGATTTTCCTAAAATACCATCTTTTATTATGACTATTCTTGGATTGAAATCCTTTTAATATATGTAATCAATAAAAGTACTTTAGAGAATATATTATAAATTTAAGAGATAAAGTTGATTGAGTCATTATATTTAACACTAAATTCAAATCTCGGTTTTATATTAAGAATTGGATGTAGGATTAATCAAAATTATTTTTTAAGTAAAATTATTGTCACTTATTCATGCGGATCTATTAAGATTAGGTATTAACAACCCTATAATAATGAGGTCCCTAAATATAAGAAACAAATTTTCTTTGTATGAAATTTTAACATTGTCTTTTAATTTTTACCCACATTAAATATATGTCATTTATTAGCTCTTTGCATTCTTTACTTATCATCTCTCATATACTATCTTTACAAACAATGATATAATTAGAAAAATATATATCACCTCCTGTTCTTAATATGTAAATTTATGGACTAATTTGAGTAAATTAAAAAAATTAGTTAAATTATTTATTTCTAATAAATAGGTTTTATCTTTTTTAAAATGTCTCTGCTAATTATATGTATTAGGTAGAATTACCATTTAATGAAACATTTAATATATGCAACCACTACAAAGATTATCTTGAAAAAATATAGATAAATATGAGAGATAAAGTAGATTGAAATACTATATTTAGATTAAATTGAGTGTCAAACTAGTTTCTATATTAAGGATGGGAGATAATATATATGTTACACATTTAATGCTTTTAACTAAATTTAACTAAACCACATAATTTTGATAGTTATTTCTTATGATAAGAGATGGAGGAAGTAATAATTAATACCCTGAAAAAATAATAATTAATATTATGTTGTACTCTTTTTTTTTTGCCAATATTATGTTGTACTTTTACAAGTGACGGTTAAACAAAGGGATACATTTCAGCTTACAAATTGCTCATATTTTTTTACCAAAACAAATTATTCATAAAATATTTATTTTTTATTATGACTATTTTTGGATAAAAATCCTATTAATATATGTAATAAATAAGGATACTATGAAAATGTATTACAAATTTAAGAGATAAAATTGATTGAAGTATTATATTTAGTATCAAAATCATATCCACTCTTATATTAAGGATTGAATGTAGAATTAATCATAAATTTTTTTTACGTCAAATTGTTGCCACTTATTCATATGGATATAATAAAATAAGTATTAATAATCCGCATTTTTTTAATCTCCTGGGCCAATTTTAGATGATTCATTTCACTCTTATTACTAATTAGTTTATTACCTCACAATGAAAAGAGGATATGTCCATGACAATGAATATTTTAATATTTTTACATAAGAAATTTTCACAAGCTTGAGCTAATTATGAGTAAATAATTCGATTAATATATCCGGTCCATTCAATAAAATAATATATTAAATAATCATAAAATTCTATACACAGACACAAACTTTTAAAAGAAAAAGAGTTAAAAGCTTTTAGAACGCACAAACACGTTTATGTAATGTAACTTTGAAAAAAATGAAAATTGTATTAAAATATTTAAAGTGTCAAACAAGTTTTTTAAACAAATTGAAGAAAGGTTCCTTTTTCTTATTTTACTGAATATAGAACAATTTTTCTGGCTTTTTCATTCTGGCATTTTTATTATCTTTGAATAATTTAGAGAATTATTGAGATGGGTGGAACGGCATACGTACACGCAAGCTTAGATTGTCCTCACTGAATTATTGTAAATGAATTTGTTGAGGGTATTTCGATAAGAGATGGAGACAAAATTCTAAAGTATTTTCAAATTCTAAAATATTGTCATTGACCGACGTACGACATTTCTTATAAATAAATTTAGTTAATTAATCACTAATAACCGGAAATAATTATATTCATCGGCAAATATATATGTATTTATTCTTTTTCTTGCCAACCATATATATTGCCAAACCTTGTTCAGGAGTAACTTTTACTTATACTATACGTATAAATGTCCTCCCAAGGTTTTTTATTTAAATTACATAAAATAAAAAAATTAGTTGATACTTTTAAAGTTCTATTTTTTTTTTCATAAATATCCTTCAATAAGTATTTTTTTCCTCTCATCTTCTGACCTAATTAATTAAAAAGCACTGATTTTCAGGTACATTTTATTAAAAAAAATAGTTTTTTGGCCACTATAAAAAATAAAAATGAGAATATTGTCATTTCATATGCACCTCTAGGCTTGCGGGATTTTTTTTGTTTTTTAACAACAACCAGAAACACCTCGTCAACCACCCCATGTTTTAATTTGAATAGTAGTGGCTGCAACTAGGGCTATTTACAGACGGGACAAGACAGAAAATCTGTCTCGTGTCTCATCCTATCTTGATATTATTCTAGCCCTTATAAGGACAGGATAGGACGGGATCGGGACGTCTCTTTTTTTTAAAAAAAATATTTTTTGTTTTGTGATTAGACATATTACAGTAGATTTTAATCATTTTTTTCTTTCTATCTTTAGTTTTTGGGCCTTAGCCCATTTGAAAGTATGTTTTTTCTCTTCTTTTTTTTGAGCTTAGCTCTCTTAAAGAAAAGTCCAAATAAATAATAATCAGTAACATAATAATTCTAAAATTCATTTTCACCATTTCAAAAATCATAAGTAACTATAAAAACTCTAAACAAATTATAATAAACATTTTGTATTACACATGACTTAAAAATATTGTATTTTTAACATTTAATAATTATAATATGATAAAAAATAAAAAATATTACTATTGGGACAGGATGACCCCGTCTTGTGTCCTGTACCGTCCCTGTCCTATTTTTTGTCCTGTCTGATTTGTCATGTCTCGAAAAAATTTCAGGATGGGATGGTGATCAGGACCCAAACAGGCCTATTTCAACACCCTTTTTTTTTTTTGCCAAAATTTGAACACCCCTTGTTGCAACAGTCCATTCTCTTCTCAAGAAGAGTCTTGAGCTTCCCTGATAGTCCCATAGTCAGATTGTATTTTATAAGTATAAAATAAAAGTATACTTGAATCCTTTAATTTATTTGAAATTTTAATTTGGTTCCTTAATTCTAAATATATATATATTCTTAGTCTTTTGACTCTTAATTATTAACAAATAAAGGTGACATTGAGATTTTGATTATCAATGAAACATTCTTAAATGCAAATGTATTAAGTTTAATTTTTAAAATAACCATCATTATTACAAAAAATTATCATTTAAGATTAATAATTTTAGTGTTAAGGAACTAAAAATATATTTTTTAAAATTTAAGAGATCAAATTAAAGCTTTATATAAAACTAAAAGACTAAATATATACTTTAGCGTAACTAATAATATGAAAATAAAAATATTCTAATTTTTCTAATATTTTACCTTAATTATAAATACTTCTTTTCTCTTTTTCAAACCTATAAAAGACTATATGCTTCATTTGGATGGTAAGAAAAGTTGAGAAAAAAAGAAATGAGAAGAAAAAAAATGAAATGAAAAGAAAACTGAAGGAAAAAGAAATATTATCATTACTCTTGTTTGGACAGAGAGAAAATAGGAATGAAAGAAAATAAGCAAATATTTAACTCACTAAATACTCTTATTTCAATCACTAAAAAATACCCTTATTCCTATGTCGAAAAATTAAGTATCACAATGAAAAAACCATATTAATATTAATATCATTAAATAATTAAAATTAAATTATTTGGTAAAGATATATTATCATGTGATTATATTTTAAATTAAACCAAATAATTTAGCACAAAATATTATTTTTCAAGGTAAAAATAAAAAAAAGTGGATAAATTTTTTAAATTAAACATAATGAAAAGAAAGGAAAAAATTAAATATTATTTAAAGTTATTAATAAATGATAAAAGTTGAAAGAGATTATGACAATATACATATGTATGTTAATGGGAAAATCCAACCCAAAAAAAAGCTGTTGAATTTCAAAATTTCAAATCAGTATTAGTTACTGCACTTGTAAAGAAAATAACTACATTCGAAAAGCAAATGACAATATATTTTTGTAGTAATTCCTAATTTGGAATTGAAAAATTCAACAATCATTTTTTTTTGGAATTTTTCCTATGTTAATTTGTGCAAATTCCAAATGTGAAAGAATGGAGTTCATGTGCTGCTTTTGAATCTTGGTCACAATATAGTGAGATAATTTTGTTGAATTGTAGACCCCGCATATTGAAGATTGCTCTGAGGAAGCTTGATATTAGCCCCTCTACACAACACCAAATGTATCTTTAATTAATTAGAATTTCACTAAGGTACAAAATAAATAAAGGAGGATTTAAGTCATTTATTTTTCAAATACATCTTCTTGTCGTAAATGTTGCCCCCGCCTTTTGTATATTGGGTGGTTGAATTGGGAGAGTTGGGCAAAATCTTGCACACAAAATTCTCAGCTTCTTGCCGGTATTGATCAAAGTTCTCATCGTGATTTAACAATGCTCTCTGCATGAACATTTAAAACTAGTAACTCACGTAAACCAAGGCATAAATGGAATACAAATACATTCATCATTGAAAAATTACTCCCTTGTACGATACAAATTAAATAACCAAATTATATATATTTCCTCCAGTCTTATTTATAAGATCCTAAAATTTGAATTGGTTTGGTTCTTTTTATGAAATCTTACTAAGGATTGTTTGAACATTAATAGCCCGTTTGGTTCAATTCCATTAAAGTTCATTACATGTAATCCCAATATAATGTGCTGATTCAATTGTTTGGTTGGGCTTTTGTAATATAAAAAGAATTACATATTGTAATCCTAATTACCTTAAGTAGATGCATGGGGATTACATAGCTAAGACCCATGAATGAGGATGCAGAGCTCTTGTAATCAAGTGAAAAATATTTTATTACCCTTATAATCTTTAAAATTGACTAGATTGACCTTAATGAAAGACTCATAAACCCTATCAATTGCTACCAATTATGTTCACACTGCAACTACCGTCTTCCTTACTACTGCTAACGATCATCATCGTGTTGGAAAGGTAATTACTCCTTGCCTCTTTCGTGTGGTTTTCTTTTGCAACATTTTTCATTAATTTTTGTGTGCGCTATATTCCTTTTCTATTTGTGGGGATAATAAAATAATATTAAATAGATTGGGTGTATGTGAAGAGTATGCTTTTCTTTCTTGAAAATACTAATGGACCTATACCCATTAAACATGAAACTTTATCAAACCATCTATTTAGCATTTTATGATTTTTTTTTTGCTATCAGGTGACTCTTCAAATCAACTTTAATTTTTTAACAGACCTTTTCAATTAATATTTTCTATTTGAAAGAAAAAGATTAACTCATTTTTTTTCCAAGATTGTAATTCTACATACTTATCAAGAAGTTGGAGCTCATTCTTTCAAAAGAACTTTTCAAGAAAAAAGAATAATATTTTATACAGATGTATGGAATGAATTTAAATAAGAACTCTAGCTTTATCAAATGTCTTAAATATATTTAATATGACACCAATTTCATTAGCATTTTTCCTAATACAAAATCTGAACCTATTCTTTATATTAATCTATTCTTTATATTTCCTAATCATCACAATTTATGTAAAGAATTTGCAGAGATGCGAAAAGATTCCAGAAGATTTGGTCCTGTTGATGTGGGTAGGGCAGAGGAAATATACAGGCAACTCATGAGAATACCAAGTCTTACATGGGGAGAGATTAACAAGGCTCATTCTAAGATTACCGAGTCTTCATCATTGGCAGTTGGATTCTCACTAGTCCCTGAAAACCACATGGCCGCTTGGGTGTACAGCCTTCTTAAATAAATAATTTGATATGTAGCACCTTTAAATATTTATTTTGTTGGTATTTTGAAATTTGCAGACATTATCTCAACATCTTTTTATTTGAATTGATAATTACGAACATGATTTAATTTATTAGTTTTTATGCTTAAATTTATATGTTGACTTATTGACTTAATTTTAGATTTATATACAAATTATAGTTCTTGTTATAATATGGGGGTACATTAAAAAAATATATGCATTTACGTTATATATAGATACAATTTTAATTATCAAACTTGCATTATACTTTAATTAATATATATACATGGACACGAGCCAATTTTATAGTTTTTCCTATTATATATAAAAATTTATATTTTGATATGTTATAGTGGATACGGTTATTATATATTTGGACCAAAAAATAAACAATTCTAATTATACATATATGAGTATGTACATAAGGGTAATTTTGTCTTTTGGTATATTATTTTTACCTATTCCCATGTCCTTTGTAATCCAACCAAATATTTTTATGCCTATGCATCATCTTAATGATGTACCAAACAAGCTCATGTAATTATTATTACATTACATTCTATTACATTGCATTACATTCTATATCATTCAATGAACCAAACGGGCACTAAATGTTAGTTTACTGATTTTGCCTATAATTAATTTTCTATTCTCTCTCCTAACCTTTTTCTCATACTTCATTCTCTTTCATCTTTTATCTCATTACTAATATTTCTCTCTCTTATTTGTTTCCTCATTAAATAAGGACATAATTGGGGGAAAAAAGCGAGGATTAATTTTTTACATATATGTTACTTTTAACTAATTTTAACACTTTTATAAACAGCATAATTTAATTAATAAGATCTTATGAAAAGGACTAGAGGACGCAGTAAAATGTTGGTTAAAATTGTTTTAAAACAATAAGCATATAAAAAAGTATAAATTATTTTTTTTAAAAAAAACTTATTCATGGGGAGAGAGTCAGTAAGAGAAAGAATGAGCAAACCCATAATTAATACGCTAAGATTACCCCTAATTAATAAAAGGTAAAAAAAAATGATAGTCTGTCCAATACTAAATATAAAGACTAGTTAACAAATTTATAGGGATTAAGAAAATTAATTAAATTAGTCATTTATAAATAAAATGTGTGTTAGTTTTCTTAAAGTATCACTTCTGATCATTTGCATGGAAATTGCTACTCCCTTGATGAAAATTCTCCTTAATATGTGCAATTAATGAGGAGAGTTTAGGAGAAAAAATTGCAATTTAGGAGATAAAATGAATTGGGATTTTACAGTTATGATCAAAATAAATCCATCTACTAACTCTTATATTTAGTATTCAAGGAAGTATTTTAAAAAAATCCAAACAAGCTATTAATTAATGTCTTTTCAATTATAAATAGAAACATGTTATTCCTAAAAAAAATTCTTACATATTTTACAGGAAGGAGTATACTCTATTACTTATATTGCTTTAATTTCCAAAACAAACTCTCCTAAATGTTTAGATGAATTTCGGCCAATTAGTCTGTGTAGTGTGCTATATAAGATTTTGGCTAAAACCCTTTGCAATAGGTTGCGGCTGATTTTGAATGATCTAATTTTGCCTTTCCAAAATGCTTTTGTTAAGGGGCGTCTCATTAATGATAACATTTTGGTGGTTGCGGAAGCAATAGCAAAGCTGAAATCAATAAGACGAACTAAGAAAGGCTGGTGTGCTAGTAAGCTTGATATAAAGAAAGCTTATGATAGTATGTCTTGGTCTTTCTTACATGCTTTATTGATCTACAAGGGTTTTCCTATGATTTGGGTGCTCATGTTGATGACTTGCATTTCAACAGTATCTCATCAGATTCTATTTAATGATTCTTTATCTCAATCTTTTTCTCCCTCTTATGGATTGCGCCAAGGGGACCCTCTTTCTCCATATTTGTTTATCTTGGGTGCTAATGTACTTTCCGCTATTGAATCCCCAATTTGAAAAGGAATTAAGAAAACTGCTCATATTATTACAGATCGGTTATATTGGAATGTTAGGGATGGGAAGTCAATTAATTTGTTTAGCTATCTTTGGTGGCCAACACAAATGATTTCTCCTATTTCACTATTGACTGTGAGGGATCTTACTCTACAGAGTGGTTCTTGGAACTTGACTCTTTTGAATTTGTTGTACACTCAAAATGTGAGAGACGAAATTGCTTCCCTTCCTATATCGACTTGTCATGGTAGAGATACTATTTGTTGGAATGGTAATGTTAAGGGTGTCTATAGTGTTGCTGATAGGTGCAAGCTATGTCTTCAGAACTGCCATTTGGATCTTCCCTTGAGAGGAACTATAAATTTTGCTTTGAATAAATTACCCCTTATACCTTGGGAAAAACTCTTTTGCTCGAAGTTTTTCCTTCATGCTTTACCAGTGAAAACCTTGTTAGTGGCAAGAAATATGCATGTGGATAAGGGATGTATTTTCTATGGGGAAGATGAGACTATGGTACATTTGTTTTTCAATTGCTCTTGGGCTCGTGCTGTTTGGTTTGGTTCATCACTTAGCTTTCGTTCTTCTCAACAAGATCTCTCTGATTCACCTAGATGGTTCATTCAAGTTCTCACTAATGTCCCTATACAAGTACAAGTATTGACTTGTCTTCTTCTTTATAGTATTTGGTTTTTTCGGAATCTAAAATTACATGAAAATAAACCATCTATGCCTTAAGAAGTTTTCAATTACATGTGAGATATTTATTATTATTATAACTATTTAGATATTATTAGGATAATTAATAAATATTCTGAGCGTGGCCTGTAGTCATTTTGGGCCCGGCCCAAGGTGGGTAATTGACTCAGTTAATTAAAGTTAATTTTTTGATAGTGAAAAATAACATACGGTATACTGAGTCTAGAGCGAAACCCTAATCTCTTCTCTGCTCACTCTCTAAGGGTTCCCCACTAGTGACGGCTGCATTCCAATTGTCATCACTGTACCCAATCACCAGTTAGAAGATTCCCTATATTGCTTTCTCCAAGGTGTTCTTGGATTTAGAGCCTCTTATCGTTCAAATCAAGTTCTACATCAAATCAACTGAGCTAATGGCGAGAGGTATTTATAAGTCTTCCGCTGTAACTCTTTCAAGTATCATATACATATATATAACCTGGATTTGATTAAATAATAATAATATATATATGTTGTTTTGCTTACATGTGGCATTAGAGCCTGGTTTCCCGATTTACCTCGTCTTACTCCTTTCTGATGCTCATTTGGATTTGTTCAATTTTCTATTTAGAAAATTATTTTAATCATTTTAAGAGCATCCATTTTGATTCTCCCATGAACCATCACCATATTCGAATAAATTTGAAGGTCCGATCAAAATTTGCTTTCATTGAGGTTTGCGGTGAGTTTGAATTTTTACTGAATCTGTGACAATTTTGAGCTTTGAATGGGAAAGAAATAAACTTACATATTGCTTAAGAATCATTGTCGCCGTCGTGTTGTTTATATTTCTTATTGTGGGAGCTTCAGTTTTGGGTTAATGCGACAGAAGGAGATGAAATTTTATCTCTCTGATGAATTCATCACCAACTTCATTGTTCTTGGAGGTCCCGAATCTGCAGTCACCCTTATTTCCTTCAAATTTAATGTCTTGCTTTGATTTTGGCTCAAAATTTTGATTAAGATGTGTTCAAATTCTGTTTGTTACTGTTAGGTGAAAATTACGCCGTCAGAAACTCCATAAAATGGCATCCTTATCATCAAAATATTGCAACTGGTCATCGAAAAAAAATGGTAGAACAATGACAGCGCCAACAGCTTTAGAGGACCAGCGAATCGGGTCATACACGGGTTCAGAGTCGAGTTGACCTAACCTGATTCCATGTGGAAGATGACTCCAACTATAAAACGGCATTGTTTTGGCCTTAGTGAAACACACCATTTCACTTATTCAAGATCTAGGCCGGACGCCTTTTGGGTTTCCAAATTAGGTCGAGAGCTTTGGGCTTTACTTTTCTGGAACCTTTTTTTTCCTTTTCTTCTCTCTCGGTCAAGGCTTTTATTTTGGGCCACCTTTGCAAAAAAAAACTGTTTTTTTGCACATTATCGTAATAGTAACGCTTTTGGGCCTTGTATTGGACTTTTTTGCACAGAAATTTAAGTTTTTGTCTCTATTTATTTCCTGGATTTTTGTTTTGCGTCTAAATATTTTTGTTATATTTTTGGATTGCTTATTTTGGGCTCTGTTTGGACTTTTAAGTATGGGCCATTTGGTTTTATTTCTAGAAAATTATTTTGGGCCATTTAATTTTATTTTTCAAAATATGTTTGCACAAAATAAATTAATTCTGTTTTGCAATGTGTTTCTTTGAATGTTATTTTATGCACTATAATTGTTTAAATTGAGGATAATTTATTTCTTTAACATTTTGACATTAGGAAAATGTTTACAAAATTTAATTTGATTTGCTATTTAATTGCCTATTTTGGATAATGTTTTTGGGCAATTAAATTAACTCTTTAAATTTTGTAAAACTCTTTTGGGTTGAAATATATTGAAATTAATTTATTAAACAATTTTTTGGGTGCATGAAATAGTGGGAAAATTTAAATTAAATCATTTAGTCATTTTTATTGATTAAATTAATTTGTTAAATTTTCCATTAAGTAGTGCATATTTGGAATTTAAATGCACATTAGTGACATTTGTGATTAGCATGCATTTTCTAAGGAGTAGCCACAGCATCCTTAATTGTGTTGCATGCACTAATTAATCACATATAGATTTGAAATATCAATTGTAACTAAATGTGTGATTATGATTTATCTTTGCCCATAGGTAGATATCTCATAATTGCATATTTAAGTAAGGTGGGATAGAATGTCTTTATTATTTTATAAGTAGCCCACAGGTACTAGAAGAGCAAATGCATTCTAGTTTCATTAATTTGAGAAAATACATGCTATGCTAATGTCTTTGCCCACAGGTAGATATTAGTGATACGTATTTATTACTTGTATGATTTATTCATTTAAATATGCATACATGGCACAGTGAATTGTGATTGTCTCAAATGCTAACTTGTGAGCTTGTTTGTTTTGATTTGCAGTTCCAATTGCTACCCCTAAATTTGTTCCTGATATAGGTAACATAGGACTCTTGGATGGTTCTAACTATCTAACTTGGAAGAAAGATGTCTTTTTCTAGCTCATAAGCATGGATCTCGATTATGCTTTGAGGGCTAACGAACCCCCAAAACCTGAAAATGATCCAAATGACCGAGAAGCTAGAGACATCTATGATCACTAGCATAAATCTAATAGCTTAGCGCTCTTACTGATTAAGACAAGGATCTATAAAAGCATTTAGGGAGTCATTCCTGGATGTCGCACTACTAATGAATATTTGCAAGAATTGGACAGACAATTTAATCCCTCAAATGAGAAGGATGGAGAAACAGTCATGTCTAAATTGTGCACCATGAAACTTGCAAGTATTGGTGGAATTAGGAAATATGAAAAACCTAGCCTCCTAGTTTGAGTCCTTCACTGAGCCATTCTTAGTACAATTGATTCTGAATTCGCTTCCCCATTAGTATGAAGCTCTCAAAATCTCCTTTTACACACATAAAGATAAATGGACAATAGATGAACTTCTAGCCAAGTGTGTTCAAGAGGAGGCTAGACTGCTAACAAAGGGGAAGTTTCCAATATGACCAAATAAAGATTATATGGCTAATAGTTCTAAGGCTAGCAACAAAAGGGAAGAAAAGGAAAATGATCAAGTCCCTATTACTTTAGCTGTTAGAAAGAAGGACTCCAAGTCCTTCTTTTGTAAGAAAAAGGGACACATAAAGAGGGAATGCCTTAAAAGAAAGGCATAGCAAGAAAAGAGATAGAGGATATTCCTAGTCAGTAGCCTAAATCAAACCAAGAGGTTGAATTAAGAAGGTCAATTAGAGAAAGAAGATTGGCATTACCTAATGACTACATATTGTACTTTGATGAAGTTGACTGTGATGTAAGTGTTGAAAATGATCCATTAACGTTTACTTAGGCCATGAAGAGTACGAACTCTAAATTGTGGCATGATGCTATGATTGATTAAATGAATTTCATGGCAAACAATCATGTTTGGGAACTTGTAGAGTTGCTTAGGGGATCTAAGGCCATTGGCTGTAAATGGGTTTATAAAACCAAAAGGGACTCACAAGGTAATATTGATAGATACAAGGCTAGGTTGGTTGCTAAGGGTTTCACACAAGTAGAAGGAATTGACTACAAGGAAATATTTTCACTTGTATCTGAGAAAGATTTATTCCGTATCATCATGGCATTGGTTGCTCATTTTGATCTAGAGTTGCACCAAATGGATGTGAAGACTGCATTTCTCAATAGTGAACTAGAGGAAGAAGTCTACATGAAACAACCTGAGGGATTCATTACAACAGGAAAAGAATAGTTGGTATGCAAGCTAAAGAAGTCAATATATGGTTTGAAACAAGCTTCACGGAAGTGGTACTTAAAGTTTCATGAAGTGATCACATCATTTAGTTTTGTTGAGAACATCACGGATGACTGTATATACCATAAGGCTAGTGGGAGTAAGATCATATTCTTGATTTTGTATGTGGATGATATTTTGCTTGGTACAAATGATCTGGGACTATTGTGTGAGGTGAAACAGTTTCTATTCAAGGCTTTTGACATGAAAGAAATGGGTGAGGCATCTTATGTTATTGGCATAAAGATCCATAGAGATAGAGCTCAAGGTCTTGTAAGCTTATCTCAAGAAGCGTACATTGGCAAGATTCTTGAACGATTCAAAATGAAAAACTGTTCATCTAACGTAGCTCCTATTGAAAAGGGAGATAAATTTAGTTCAAATCAGTGTCCCAAAACTGAGCTTAAAAGAAAACAGATAGAAAATGTCCCATATGCCTTAGTGGTAGGAAGCTTGATGTATGCAAAGGTTTGTACAAGACTTGACATCGCTTTTGTTGTGGGCATGCTGGGGAGATATCAAAGTGATCCTAGGGAAGCATATTGGATAGCTGCAAAGGTGTTCAGATACCTACAAGGTACAAAACATTATATGCTCACATATAGAAGAACAAACAATTTGGAAGTAATTGGGTACTCATATTCAGATCTTGGAGGATGTTTAGATACAAATAAATCTACAACTGGTTACATCTTCCTATTAGTAGAAGGAGCTATATCATGAAAAAGTACAAAGCAAACACTAACAGCTCCTTCTACTAGTGATGCTGAGTACATTGCATGTTTTGAGGCAAGTTCACAAGTAATCTGGATAAAGAATTTCATTGTTAGGCTCAAGATTGTGGACTCAATCTCTAAGCCAATCAGAATGTACTGTGATAAGCAGCTGTGGTGGCCATAGCAAATAACAAAAAGAATAAAAGTCAAAGCAAATTTGTTGAACTTAAATTCCTATGCCTGAGAGAAAGAGTTTAGGATGGCCAAATTTCTATTGAACGCATCAGTACAAATGATAAGCTAACTGATCCTTTGACAAAAGGGTTGAAATTGAACATTTTCGTTTCACATATACCTCCCATGAGACTTCATCCTTCATTTGATTAGTTGAGGTATGAGCAATGAAAGCAAATTTATGGTTTATCATTTCTAATTTATGATTGTATACATTTGTGATATTGAAATTGATAAACATTGAGACCAGAACCAAATAAATATTGAGTTTATTCATAAAGTGATACCCATTAAGTAAGGATGCTGCTCGTAACACATGAAAGGTAATACTCGATAAAAGAGGACTTATCGTCGTGATTCTTGTAGAAGATTCCCTGCATTGCTTTCTCTAATAGTGTTCTTGGATTTATAGTCTTTTATTATCCAGATCAAGTTCTACATCAAATCAACTGAGCCAATGGCGAGAGGTATTTATAAGTCTTCCGCTATAACTCTTTCAAGTATCATATACATATATATAATCTGGATTTGATTGAATAATAGTATATATATGTTGTTTTGCTTACATTACATCTATGCCTCAAGAAGTTTTGAATTATGTTTGTGGGTTAGCCTGTTAATGTGATATGATTCAAGACAATAGGATAAAGAGAAACTTTAAGGATATAGGTCGTCAGGTTTGGTCAACTTCATATGATTTATTTGCATGGGTACTGAATTTGCAATTAAGCCAGAGAATGGAATTTGGTAGGAAATTTAAAAGTTATTGGTTGAACTGCATTTTCAATACACTTTGATCATTCACAGATTGGTTGTGGTGTCGAAGAGGAAGAATAGTACACTGGTTATGCTATAAGAAATTCGTAAAAGGCTTCAGTTTGTGAAGGCTTAGACATTGATTGTTGGTCCCTATGCATATCCATTGAACTTTTTGCTAAAAAAGAAGTGTGTGGCACTTCTGCTAAAGGGCAATCTTCCTCCGACTTCGAAACTTAAAGCTTTGGTTGATGATATCAGATGGTATCTTTCTAAGATTTCTAGTGGTTTTTTCATTTAAGGTTAACCTTGTATAGTTTTGATCCAAAGAAAAAAAGAAATTTATAGTATACTCTATTACTCTAACATAAAAATATTTGCCCTTGAGAGAAGCAATGTGCACCGGCATACTTGTTGTCCCAACTAAAGATATCTGGTTCAAGTTGGTCATCAGCTCCCAAATTCTTAATTAATTTATTATAATAAATAGAATTTGGTGTCCTAAAAAGCCATGCAGCTCCCCGCAATAGCTCATCCTAAATCAAAAAGAAACATGTTAAAAATCATACTCTTTACAAAACTTATTTGTTAGCAAAAAAAAAAAAAAACTTTGGAGACCAAATTACGATATACATTAAATATGGCATTATGTGGTGTTAACTGCACAATTTGTTTTTTTCATTCATTAATGTATGAGGAACATCAAGTTTAACATAGTAAACAATTCTCTAAAAAGGATAAACGTTAAACATGACATATGGAAAATAAAAAAAAACACATTTTTCTTCGAAAATATCTGAAAATACTAGAATCTGGAAACATAATTATTGAAATAGTATTAATTAATTAATTAATTATCTTGCAACCATTATATGAGCAATAAGATGGGCAAACAGCAGATCCAAGTGAACTATTATAAGAACCTTGATATTTCAAAGCAAATTTGAACACTTTTTTGGCGGTCCTCAATATAATCCTTGAATACGCTGGATCAGCCCTATGGAAAACAATAGAGGCCGCAGTGAGGGCGGCGGCAATTTCACCGGCCACCTCTGAACCTGGTTTATCATGCGACACCCAATACACGGTTCGAACCGCGTCCATATCTTCGGGCCTTTCCCAACATTTGTGGTCCACATTTGGGTCACCGGCACCGACGTAGAGTCTGGCAGGAGGAGTAGCAGTGGCACCCTTTAGGAGGTAGTCGGTGGCCCAACGTATTCCAACTTGGGCCTCTTGTATTTGGGAGCCCATACCCCAACCATATTCAACGGTGCTCCCTGAGAACATGGTAGCGGTGAATGCCGTTGGAAAGTTGAATTTGACATTTTCTCCAGCATCATTGCAGCCTCCGGTTAAATCCCCCTACGAAATATAAAAGTATTTGCAAGTTTCTTAATTTTCTTGTTTGATTTAGAGGAAATTAATTATATTTATTTTAATTTCATTAAAATTACATGAATCAAATTATGCTGCCCTTGATTCTATTTTAATGTCAAATTGATGAAGAGTATAAAAGGCTTAAAATTAAATAAACAGTAATATCTATTGAGGAAAATTAATTAATTAGTCCTCATAATTTCATCTAATTTTAATTGAGCCCCTGTAGTTTTTTCTTTTTATCTTTAGGTCCCTATAGTTTCTTCAATTATAAATATTAGTCTTTATACTAATAATTTATTAATTTGTAAGATAAAGGACTACAGTAGTTGATGACGAGATTTTCACTTAATATATACCTAAATTAATTTTTGCTACATGGATCTAAATAAAATCAAAGTCAACTAGATGTCTAGATGCAAGAGACGGTTATCAGGATAATTTTTTTAGTCAATAATAAATAAATTTTATTTAATCATTTTATTTTTTTTTTTTTAAAAAATCTCTGTTTTAGTTTGTCTTTTTATGATAATTTATACGTCACTTAATTAACATTCACATCAATTTTAATTAACGTATTATGAGTATATGGACTAATGTTTATAATTAAGAAAATTGTGAAAGCCCAATGAATAGAAAAAGATACAGAAATCTGATTAAAATTATATAAAACTATAAGGATTTAAGAATTAATTTTCTGATGAAAGAAAAGTACATGTGAAAGCAGAACAATTTTAACAACATGGGGAAAGAACAATAGTGACTTTTCCAATGCTTCGCTGTAATTATCAGGGTTTCCCTCAGCATTATTGTTAACCAAGAAGAAGATGATGAAGAAGAAGAATCTGAACATAACTACCAAATACAAAGAAGCTCCCTCTGAAACAAATGAGCATTACTTATGAGACCTTTTACAATTTGGCGATTCATTCTTGAACTGAACTGCCCTTTTATAAGCAAATGAATGAATTAAATTAAATGACATAATTTACTAAACAATGAAATTATTATTGGCCATCTTTTTCTAACCTGAATATGGACCCAGACAATTTGAATTAATATAAGTTTACTTAGCTTGAAGCTGTCATCCGTGATCTTATGGCATTAAACTAATGTCTTTTTTTTTTTGGCAGTATTGTGTTTAAAATTTTTTTATTATTGAAATATCCCATGAAGAATTTATAAAATGGCATAGCAACTCCAATTGGGTCAATTGGTTCAATGTTTGTTCCCTTTAAACAGATTATAGAATTCAGATCGTGTTTGGAAAAAGACAATTGTCGCTAGCGGGTTTTACACTCATATGATTTGACTTTGTCTGAATTAGCTAAAACTCAGTGTGACTTTCAAAAATTAATTATTTCTAAAAAGATTGAAATATTAAGCTTTTTAAATTGAACAAAAATTTAGGCCTGTACAAAATTTAAGAAACAAGTCACATTATTTATTATTGGTAAATAGATTGACTTGCAATGTTCTAACTTCCTCTTGTCCTTTCTACAAGGTCCATTCTAAGAAGTTTTTAATCACGAATATATGAGCCTCTGTTTTTTTTTGGCCGAAAATACCTTTTCTCAACCATAGGGATTAGTGAAGTTGCTCGTGAATTCATGAAATAAATAATAATTCTAGAAATTCATGAAATTGTTTTTATACACTTAATAGCTTTAACTAACTTTAACATATTTTCTTGCGTTATCCTTCATAAGGAAAATTAAAGAGGCTGAGAAATTTTTTAAGGTAGGTGAGCAAAAAACACACTTCTCCTCTCCTCCAAAAATTAGAGGAGGCTTTTAAATAAAATATTTTAGGACTAAATTTGATATTACCTTTCTACACTAATTATTCGAGCAACTAGCGTAGAAGCTGATAAATTTTAAGACAAATTAAATAATTTAAATAACTATCCATATTGGTTACATATTGGTTAAATGTATAATTAAAAATCAATAAAAATAATTGACATTGAGAATCACAATGATAATTATACCCTTTTTTCGCCAACGGTAATTATACCCGTTTGTAACAAGATCAAAATCAATGATAATATAGTAGTGGTGGTAATACTATTGCATTAGCCGGCTATTTTTGTTGAAGGGAATATAAAGTCAATTAATTTGAAGAGAAATTAATATAAAAGAGGAAGAAGAGAAACTACATACGTATGGGCTAAAGTTTCCTGAGAAATTGATATGAACACTTTCAATTTTGATTATCTGAAATCTTCAACTTTTATTTATCTTAACTTCCATGAGATCATGCTTTGACCAATTGCACAAATCACAAGAGTGTTACGCAAATAAAAACAAATATGTGTGTATGTGTGTAGAAGGACTTGAACTGTGATATTATCATTAATGTCTCCTTTTGCTATCTCTCAAGTTACAGTGTAATTAATACCTTACAAGTGTCAAAAGGGGTGTTTGATATCTGTTTTAAGTTTGTTGGCATGAATGAACTGTGATTAATAATGATGGAAATGATAATCAATGTGAAAAAAATCATGCATATGATCAATCAAACGCATATAAAGTCGAAGGAGATATATGAGTTTTTGGCAAATTTCCATGAAACCAAATATTACTATATTAGTAGAGTTTTATAAAGTCGAAGGGATGTGTAGAGTTTTATAATAATTAATTAATTATAGGGACATTATAAAGAGAATTAAGCAGGCAACTTTAGATTTGTTGCATCCCAACGCCTATATTCTAGCTGATAACATATACAGTAACAAAAACAAATATTGAAATTGTAATGAAAATTTGAGGCAGATGGGCAGCAAGATTCGTTGTAGAAAATTTTAGATGGAAAATTTTTGGCAAAAGTACACATTTAATCTTTGACAACAAGCACTTCTGATATAGAATTCATAACAAGTTTAGTTAGACCAATAACAAGTTAAGTAAGACCAATGACAAGTTCCGATAAGGTTTTTATACAATTTTAAATTTCTCTATTGAAATGAGAATTTGCAAATTTCTTTGACAGTAACCAGTTCTGATAAACAGTTAATGACAACTTTAGTTAGGCCAATGACAAGTTAAGTAAGGCTAATGATAAGTTCCGATAAGGCTTTCATACAATTTTAAATTTTTCTGTTAAAATGAGAATTTGCATATTTCTTTGACAGCAAGCACTTCTAATATAGGATTCATGACAAGTTTAGTTAGGCTAATAACAAGTTAAATAAGACCAATGACAAGTTCCGATAAGGTTTTTATGCAATTTTAAATTTCTTTGTTGAAATGCGAATTTGCAAATTTATTTGACAGCAACCAGTTCTCATAAATAGTTAATGACAACTTTGGTTAGGCCAATGACAAGTTAAGTAAGGCCAATAACAAGTTCATATAAGGTTTTCATACAATTTTAAATTTTTCTATTGAAATGAGAATTTGCAAATTTCTTTGACAGCAAACACTTCTGATATAGGATTTATGACAAGGTCAGTTAGGCCGATGACAAATTAAGTATGGCCAATGACAAGTTTTGATAAGGTTTTCATACAATTTTAAATTCCAGATTTCTTTGATAGTAAACACTTCTGATATAGGATTCATGACAAGTTCAGTTAGGCCTACTACAAAAAAAAAGGGTATTAGTGATGGAATGTTAATCCCTCACAAATTCCATCACTAAAATTAGCGACGGAATTTAGTGATGGAAAATTTCCGTCACTAAATTAGTGAAGGATTAGTGACAGAATTTTATTCCGTCACTAACTTAGAGACAGATTAGTAACCGAATCTTATTCCATCACTACTTAGAGACGAATCAGTGACTGAATCTTATTCCGTCGCTAAATTCTATCACAAGTCCGTCACTAATTTTGTGTTAAATTCTGTCACCAATCTGGTATTAACTCTCATTTTGTGACGGAAATTAGTGACGGAAAAATTCCGTCACTAATTTCCGTTACTAATCATTTAACACAAAATTAGCCAATTCGTCACTAACTCTCATTTGGTGACAAAAATTAATGATGGAATTTTTCCGTCACAATTCCGTTACTGATCTGTCACAAAAAAATATAATATAAATATATATTATTAAAATAAAAATAAATATATCATAATTTTTAAAAATATATTATATTAAAATTAAAATTAAAAAATTATAAAAGAAAATAAAAATAAAAATAAATAATATACTTATTATTTTATTAAATATTTGAATAAAAATATAAATTATTAGAAATTTTTTACTTAAATATAAAAATTAAATTCAAATAAATAATAATATATTAAATTACGTATATAATATTTATTATATATATTTGTATTTGTTATTAGAAATATTATATATATTTATTTTTGTAAAAGAATTTCACAGGTGCTTCTCAGTTCAACTGGCAAAGGCTTCAGCATGCACTTAGGAGGTCTCAGGCTCGAACCAATTTGTGACGTGGCGATGACGTGGGCAAGGTGATGATGTGGCGGCTCATAATGATGGACACGTGGTGATAACGTGGACGTCATGATGATGTGGCTGCATAAGAGAGAGGAGGAGTTGAGGTGGCATCCAATGATAGACACATGGTGATGACATGGGCGACAAGATGACGTGAGAACATAGGAGAGAGAGGAGTTGGTGAGGTGGCAGTCATTGATAATGTGGCGGCTTATAGTGATGGACATGTGAGGATGATGTGGTATTTTAAATTTACAAAATAAAAAAAATTTAGTGACGGATTATTGACGGAAAATTTTGTCACCAATTTGTGACGGAATTTTCCAAGGAACAAAAAACTGGACCAGGCATTACACCGGTTGAGATAGTGGGTCAAGGGTTACTGGTCGAACCGAGGTTGAACCGGGGTCGGATCAATCATATTAAAATAATATAATTAATTCATAATATTAAAATAAAACAAAATTCATAAATAATAATCACTAAAAAAAGATGAGAAGCTACAAAAGTAGTAGTTTAAATATTTAATAGTACCAAGCAAACATTAATGAAATGTATATCTTAACTAGGGAAAATCAAAATCATCACTAAGATCATTTGCATGGGCTGAGATGTCAACAGCTGGACAAGGAAAAGCAGGAGCAACAACATCATCTTGTAAAGGTGGAGGGTCAGCAATGTTCATATCTTCATCACCTATATAAGACAGTGACCAACATTAAAGATTATACAAATAACTATATATTGGTATAAGAATAGAGTCTTAATTAAATATATAAACCTTCATTAGCACTCTCAAGAGTTGTTGAATTAGCAGTGCCGTCATTGTTAAGGACGCTTTCCAATGTATCCACATCTCTATCATCAAACTCCGGAGTGGGATCTTCTTCAGCCACCCAAAAATCCACCATATCAATGTTTTCATAGTCAATTGGATCATAACTTTTGCTCTTCTTCAATGTACTCCTTTAATGACAAACAAAATTTTAGATAAATATAAATCAATTTAAAAAAAACTAAAGTTATTCACTGTTTCCAAGATTACCTATGCTTCAATCGCAGATTATAGTTGGTGAAAACCAAATCATTCAATCTTTTATGTTCCAATATGTTTCTTCTTTTCGTATGAATTCTTTCAAATAAGCTCCAATTCCTCTCACAACCAGAAGAAGCAGAAGTTTGACTAAGAATGCGCATTGCAACACGCTGCAATTCTGGAACTGAACAACCATAATATGTCCACCATTCATCTACATAATAAAATATATTATCCAATACTATATAGAATTAGTGAATAATCATGAATATAATAAATAATAATAATACTTACAGGGGTCTAGTTTTTGAGCAGCTTTTTGACATGAAGGCCTGCTAAAAGATTCCTTGCCTTCGCGATAAGTAGTCGCTTGTTTCATCACTAGGAAGCCATCAATATCTTCATCTGAGTAAGACTCAACCACATCAATCAAAGCCATCATTAACTTTGACTTGCTAGGACAATTTGGACCATATGTAATTGCAGGATTCAACAAATACGATGCCGCATGAAGATTGGTCTTCAGATGTCTATCCCATCAAGTTTGAATGATTCTTGTGTAAGGCTTATACAATTCCTTGTTCTTCTTAAACATCTCCTTAATTGCTATTTTTGTCCTTCTCATCCCTTCATAAACGTAAGGCAATGAAGGCTTCTCATCTGAGTCCACAATTCTCAATAATTTGATGAGAGGAGATACAATCTTCACAACTTGATAACAGTCATTCCAAAACCGGTTATCTAAAATGATTGCACTAAAATTTTTCCCTGCCTCAGTCTTTGATAATCTATGGTCCACAAAATGCTTATCAACAACCAGAGCCTGCAAGTCATTTTTATGCATATATATGCTGTGCAATGTAATAAATGTTGTAGCAAATCTTGTGGCACCAGGACGCACAATTTCTTTCCAACTCGGTCTCCTCCTCAACATGATAAGAAAACCATATGATTATATGCAAAGATAGTTACCTTGGATGCCTTTGATGCGAGGTCTGACACATTTGGCATGCTGGAAAAGTCTTTTAATATAAGATTCAGACAATAAGCAGCACAAGGTGACCAATAAATATTTTTATACTTTTCTTTAATCAACCTGCCACATGCTACATAGTTAGCTGCATTGTCAGTTACTATATGAACAATATTCTTAGGACCAATCCACTCAATGACTTCACAGAATAGAGTAAATAGTGTTTTGGCATCTTTGACTAAATCTGAAGCATCAACAGACTTCACAAACACCATTCCGTGTGTAGAATACACTAAGAAATTTATCAAAGTACGTTGCCTCACATCAGTCCATCCATCAGCCATGAGTGTGCAGCCATTGTTTTTCCATTTAGCTCGATGGCTATCAATTAGTAATTGACATTCTTTTCTCCAATCACTCAGCAAATTGGTTTTGAAATCATAAGCACTAGGGGCTTTAAACCCAGGCCCAATTGAAGCAATACCATCTATAGCTTTTTGAAATAACGGGCAATCAAATGCTTTAAATGGAATGCAATTCACAATGGCCCACTCAGCAATCAATATTTTTACATTGTGTTTCGCTTCTTTGGTTGCTAATGCACTTTTAATACCCGGTTGAGAATCAGGGGTTGTGCGAGGAGCAAAATAATTATCCATACTCCCTATAGATTTTCTCTTTTTTGCACTACTCATGATAATTGGTGAATCAACATGAGTATCTTCAATTTCCTCTTCTATATTTTCAATGGCTTTTTTCTTTGAACACTCTTTCAAAGATTCTGTCATTCTATGATGTATATCATGCAAAACCTTTTTACAAGAAGATATTTGACCAGTGATACCAGCAAGGTGTTGCTTCATCCTATTTATCCCACTACCTCTATAACTATTACCACAAAAAAGGCAGGTGTATACATTTTGTGTCCCTTCTTTCTTATAAGCAACATGTGCCCATGCAGGATCAGTTTTTGTACGCAATGAAGAAATTGGTGTAGGAGGATTGGAAGTTTCAGTGTTGGGAGTGGAAGATTGAGTATTAGGAGTGACATTATCATTTCCAGAACTTTGATTATTTGAAATATCCATCACTGCTACCTCTTGAAAAGAAAACAAAATCCATATAAAATCAATTTAATCTAGAAACAGATTCACTAAGATGGCATATATGCAATGACATTGACATTCAGAAAAACATAATTCAACTTATTAGTGATTAGTTTTTGACACTTTTGCAAAATCTTTCACTCTTATAAGACTTGGCTGAATAAAAATCAAACCAAATCAACTCAAAAGTGTTATATTTGATACAGGCATACAGCTAGTAAGCATCACAGGCCTGAATAAAAATCTAATTCATAACAAAACTAGTAAAACAACCAAGTTGCTGCCTGGAGACCCTATGACATTTAAAGCTAGTAAGCATCACATGCCTGAATAAACATCAACATTGCAAACCCATATAAAGAACATAAAAAAGGACCACATAACATCATTATCACGAATTCACGATATAATCATAGCAAGACTCATTCAGGATCTCATTTATATATAGTCTATAATCAGTAATCACAGTAAAACAGCAAAATTCATTCGATATAAAATTACAAACCAAAATGAAAATGCAAGAAAAGGCCAGAATACCAGAAAATATTAGCCTTGAGGAACCGGGAACGATAGCGGCGGCAAGGAGATGAGGTCACTACTCACGAGCAGCAGCAAAGTTTGATGCGTATGCCAAAAAGCTTGGAGAGACAGACTAATTAGGAAATAGGATCAGAAATTCAGGGGTTTAGGGGTTTAGAGCATAAAGAGGAACGGGGGAGGCAGCATTGGAACTCATTCTAATTGTTTCAAGTTTAGGAGACTTGCGAGTTGCGAGCTCAGATGGTTGAGGGAGACTTGCGAGCTCAGACCCTCTAACTTGCGAGCTCAGATGGTTGAGGGAGACCAGAGATCAGAGTTGCGATGAGGTTGAGGGAGACCGGAGATCCGACTTGCGATGACTCTACGATTTTGGAGCTCTACCGAACAAGGAGGTGTGTCAGAGTCTCGGAGACCATCGTGCCGTCAGTGACTCTAGCGAGCAGGGATTTTGGAGGAGGCGATTTGGTTTTAAGGAGGGAGGCCAGAGGCGAGCTGCTGCGATGCGATACTCGGGGAGCTGATGAGAGGAAGAAACGAGTGTATATCAGATTCAGGGGAAAAAATGGGAACTCGGCAGCAAAGGAGAAACCGAGAAAGGAAGGAAGGATTTTTTTTTAGTAAAACGACATTGTTTAGGTTATATCAGACCAAAAAAAAAGGGAACCGGGTAACTCGCCAAACCGGGTTTACCCGGTTCTGTACCGGTTATGATCGGTTCAATCGGTTTTTTAGCGGTTCGAAGCTCCCCCGGTTCAGCTAGTGAACCAAACTGGACTGCAGACCAGTTCACCGGTTTTCCGGTCGAACCAGCCGGTCCGGTCCGGTTTTTTTTACATTGGAATTTTCTGTCACAAATCCATCATTATTTTGTGACAGAATTTTTATAGGATATCCATCACTAATTAGTGACAGATTAGTGAAGAAAAATTTCTATCACTAATTTTCGTCACTAATCTGTCAGTAATCCATCGCTAATTAGTGACAGAATTTTGAATTTTGTCAATTAGTACGGTGGAATTAGTGATGGAACAAATTCCATCGCTAATTCTGTCGTTGACTGAATTCTGTCACTAATCTGTTACTAATTTTAATTAGTGACAGAAATTTCGTCATTAAATTCCGTTGCTAATTTGATGTTTTTTTATAGTGGCCAATGACAAGTTAAATAAAACCCATGATAAGTTCTGATAAGGTTTTTATACAATTTTAAATTTCAGATTTCTTTGACAGCAAGCACTTCTGATATAGGATTCATGATAAGTTCAGTTAGGCCAATGACAAGTTACATAAGGTCAATGATAAGTTTCGATAAGGTTTTCGTACAATTTTAAATTTCAGATTTCTTTGACAGCAAGCATTTCTGATATAGGATTCATGACATGGTCAGTTAGGCCAATGACAAGTTCTGACAAAGTTTTCATATGATGTGAGTTAATTTAAAGATAATGCCAATTAAACCTTCAACCTTCTAAATGCTAATATCTGTGCTTTAAGTGCATGCAATTGCTATTTGGTAAATCTAGATTGTTGTTGAGGTATCTGAATTGGTGGCCCAAGGAGTTTGACATGATTTCCTGAAGTCCCTTTATCTGGGGAACTAGTAGTCTAAGCAGAAGATTGGTATTCCTTCACGATTGAATTTACTTTGTCCTTGCTCTGACTTTCTAAAGACAAACTTTTGCCCAAGCTATCAATCTTGCCATCTCCCCTTAAAGCTTATATGCGGTCATTATTTTCTGCGATGGAAGCTTACCTAAAACCAGAACCAACCACAAGAGAATGCCAATTCAAGTAAACCAAATGATAAATAAAATCACGTCCAAGATAAGTTTTCTATAGGAGATTCTTCCTTGACTGGAATGATAACAAAAACCCAAATAAGTGCAAAATGTTGGCATTCAGGATCCTAAAAATCTTCCACTACCCCTTAACGATATCAATTAAAGATATCACCATTTCAACTACTAACAAAACCTGTCCAATAAAGCTTCTTCTCATCATATCCATGGCGGCCACTAGGGGCTTTGGTAAGGAAGAAATAGATGAGTCAAGGAACCAAGGAAGAGGGGGATGAGGAGGGGAGAGAAAACTAAACCCAGAACAATCGCTTGCTATAGCTCATTCACTCATAGTCAGCTTCCTCCCTTCGTTCACTCATCATCATCATAATCCTTGCTGCCATTTACCTAAGAAAGGAAGAGGGAGACAGGTTGAAGAGAAGAGCGAAGAAAGATGAACTTGGGTACAAGGGACTAGGGAAAGCAGAAGGGTGTTTTTGTCTTTTAACTGACATTTCATAATTTCTATTTAGGATTGGATCTCTGACAGGAATTATACTAATTCAAGAACCTAAATCACAATTATGTATATTCAAAAGTCTTTATTTGCTATTTTCCCAATCATAAAATAACCAAAAAACAAAGTATCAATTCATAATCCTACGTACAAATAATGAAACCACACCTAAAAATCAACTTAATATTTAAACATTAAATTAAATGAAATTAGCAAAATATTAACAATAAAAATGTGAACAATAAATTTAAATGAAACACTAAATAAATAATAAAATTGTAATTAAATACTAACAGTAACTTCCTCGATCTCCTCAAATATAGGAGTGTCATCCCTGTGCCTATGGAGCTGTGGCTACATCTCGCCATAAGTGGGCCTTCGTCACTCCTCTTGCTACGTCTTCCTCCCCTGCAAATTTATAATAAAACAAAAAATATTTTTACTATTTAAATTCATACATATATGTACACATATATATAACTTGATTAACTTTGTAGTATTATTCACAATCTCATTATAAGTCACATCAAATGTCTTTAAACTAAGCATATGTTGGATATCCTGATGGCTGCGGCTCACGATGTTTCTTTGAGAAAGACACTGCAACAAAAATATAACAAAATTAGTTAGATTAACTTTGTAGTATTACTCACAATCTCATTATAAGTCACATCAAATGTCTTTAAACCAAGCATATGTCGGATATCCTGATGGCTGCGGCTCACGATGTTTCTTTGAGAAAGACACTGCAACAAAAATATAACAAAATTAGTTAACTTGTACAGCAATAACATAAGAATAATTCAATAAAGTCATACCCTCTACTCTGGTGTCAACCTAAACTGGACAAATAATGCCCAATTGTTGGCAGGGACACCATTTGGCACATCTACCTATATCTCCTCCTGGGTTCTCATCTTATCGCCTTTCTTTGCATTGTATAGGTAGCCCTTTCTTTTCTTCTAGTCCTTTCTTAACTTCTTTACTGCATATGTCTTCATGTTATCCCCAATAATGAATTTTTTTTTGCAATTAAATAATGAAATTATGATTTAATTACTAAAAAATCAAATTCATAATGTAACTCATAATTATTTAAAGAAAAATATTTAATTATAAATTTCAATTACTAATAAATTATACCTTCAACAGCTCTCAAGCGTTGTTCTTGTTTCTTCGTGGCATGCTCTTCTAGTTCGGCTAGTAGATGGGAAACAACATGTACTACCCACCCAGATAAGCCAGTTATCAGGTGAACAGATGTCTTGCCAGCTTAATCGGTTAACCGTTCTCATTCAAACGAACTATGACACGTGCATCTTGTATGTAATGCATGTCTTTCACGTTCAGTCTCATCATGGACCTATTGCTAGCTTGGTTTGCACAATTAAATTGATAATCAAATAATATCAATAACATTTAATTATTAATATTAAATAACTTATTTCTCTTATCCACAACCTCCACCTCCCAACTGCTCAACTGTCCACTAGGTTGAGGTGGTTGATTCTGCCGCTGCTAGTAGTCCTCTTCCTCCTCTGAGCCCAGTACCTCTCCCTCTATGTCATCCTTGAATCTGCATTCATTCCCCTCCAGGTTGAGATCGAAATGCCCATTGATCACATTAGCTTCCACGTTGATCATGGGCCCCTCATCCTCCTTTGGCTCCTCGGACGACCCAGGCTAGTCAGGATGCTAGGGGGTCTTGTAGGCTCAATGAGGTTTTTACCATGTCGACAAGCCATGGTATTTAAACTACAAATAATTAATTAAACAATACAAAATACAAAATAGTTTAAATATGATTTTAATAAATTCTAAATATTTTACAATTACCTTTGAAACCATAAATAAAAATCTAAAACATAAAAACCAACTTCAAGTATCTGAAATTAAATAAGATACTATAAAATGTAATTAAAATAATATCACTCCTAATGTCTAATAAAATTAATTACTAAATAAACAAATTTTATCATTAAACAATTAAAAATAACATGCAACCTAAAAAAATTAAAGACAATAAGATATATAATCATCACAATTAACTAATTGAACAATCTAAATCACATATAACTAATTAAACAAAATACAAAATACAAAATTGTTTAAATATGAATTTAATAAATTATAAATATTTTATAATT